GTGACCTCGTCAGGCCCTCCTTCCCCCTCTCTCCCGCCTCACGAACCCCCTACTCCGTCCTTGCTGTCGTCTCTTACAGGCTGAGCTCTGCCAGCGACAGGACCGTACTCTTACCCCGCAGCACCCTGTGTATTATACGGACCTTCGTATACGCCGTCGGCTGCATTCCGCGTCTCGGAGAAGAGGGAAAAAAGAAGAGAGAGACACACGGTCTGGTGATAGGTTCAATTGACGACTATTACGGTGAAATTCGAGATTCTTCGCCGTTGATATTTCAACGTGTTCTGAACTATTTCGACGAAACTTCTCGATACTAATCGTTCCGGGGGAGAAAAAAGACTAACGGTTCCTTTTCGTCGAACGTCCGTATTTTCGCTCGGTATTTTCACCGTATAGTGAAATAGAAATTTGTAATACTTCTCGGCGTGGAATTTCTGGGAATCCTCCGAAGGGAGAATTGAAATTTGCCGGATGGGTGAAGAGAGGAGGGAGAAGGATTTCAATATGCGATATCGTAAATACAGCGTGTAACAAAAGTTCCTAGACTTTCTGGAGTTCGATCGTGTATATCGATGCCCTCCGAATTTGGCTCTCCCTGACTTTTCGGTCCCTCCTCTCTTGTTCGTTCGAAATACAATATCGAAGAAGTGAAGAAAATCATCGCTGAAACACCTTCGCACATGTGCCAACCAGAGTGAGCTTATGCATTGAAGAAAACGACGAATTTGCCAGTCTATGAAAAACCCTTGTTCACTTGTACCGATTTAATTGGAGAAATTTTCAAAGCAAAAGCATCGCTACGCGAATGAAACATTTCAGCAATCTCGGTCCCGGGAACTTTTGCTACATACTGTATGAAGCATGTAGCGCGAGTGTAAAACGCGGCACAAGTGTGTACGGTTCTAATATCAATTAGATTCACTAGGAAAGAATACCGTAACGCGGAGAGTGCGTCGTGTTTGAAACGAGGGGGCAGGAGACAGGCAAAGACTGTTCGGAGAGTCCTCCGATGGGGGGGAAAACCGTGTAGAAAGAGAATAGGAAAAGTGGGTAGGAGTAGGGGGCGCAAGGGCTCGATTGCGACGGTCCTGCCGGGGCTCAAGATGAGGCCCGCCTTTTTACACTGGGTAAGAAAGAGCCGCTTGAGGCCGTCGTGGTTAAAGCGAGATAAATGAAAGGACCATAGAAGGAGCAGACGGAAAGAGAGGAAAGGAGGAACGCCTATACGCAGAGATCGAGAGAGCAGAGCCAGCCGGTGTGTGTGTATATAAGTACACCAAGTGTGTGTGCGTGGTGCGTGTTGGAGCGAGAAAGAGGCAACGATCGAAGGATTAAACGGAAGAAAGGAGAGCGAGCGAGAGAGAGAAATAAGAGAATAAAAAGAAAGGATGTTGGATACGGCGGAAGGGGAAGGGTGGTAGGTAAAAGCAGGATGGAAACGAGAAGGGAAGGAGAGAGGATCGACCGGGTGGTGCAAGAAGCGAAGGAAGAGAAGGCAAAAAGGAGAAAAAAAGGTGGGATCCCTTAAAAATTGAGACCCACAAAGGTGGGGATCGGAATTTCGGGCCCCGTAAACCGGCCAGTCTCGAGGAGGCCTTCGCGAAGATGAGGTGAAGAGAAGAGGAGATAGACGCCCGACGGGATAGAAGAAGAAGAAGAAGGAGAAAAGAAAGAGGAAGAAGAAGAAGGCGAAAAAGGAAAGGAACGAACGAAAGAAGTAATATAGAAGAAGAAGAAGAAGAAGAAGAAGAAGAAAGAAAGAAACTACGACGACGACGACGACGACGACGAAGACGAAGACGAAGACGAAGACGACCACGACGACAAAGAGGAGAAAGAAGAAGAGGACGAAGAAGACGAGGAAGAAGAAGGAGAAGAAGAAGAGGAACCGTAGCTGGTCTACTGTGTACCCGGCATGGACCGTCAGTACACACTCTGCGTACTCGTACCGGCGCACCAGTACCGCACCTATGTGAACAATTACCATCAGCAAGCACATCATCAACGTTTGAAGCAACAGCAACGCCAGCAATACTCCGAGCAGCAACGTTCGTGCAAGCAGCCTTATCAGCAGGAGCAAATTTACGAGAACGTCGTCTCTCAATATCGGATGAGAATGTGCTATCACAACGACTACGAGAACGACGAGCAGATACAAAGGTTCTACTGGGAGCAGTGTTACAGACGTGATGACACCGATGCCACCGCATATTATTACTGTGAATACGTAAGGGCTATTCTGTTCCAGCATTATCCTACTTCTTCTGCACGACGTTCCCTCAGGATCGGCTTAGAATCTCCTACCAAGTGAACTCCACACACACACACACACACTGGAACAGTGGTTTTTGCCTTCTGTAGATTCCGTTCATTGAAAGATTCCTCTCTCTCTACACCAGCTTTTCCGTGTCTCTGATACGATAGGATACTCGTTCATCTGATAACAGATCGAACCAGGAATTCCTCCTAGTCATTTTTCTTCGTGTTTCTTTTTACCTTCCGTTCGAACAAAGTGTACTCCTTTACACCTGAAACGAAGAGCTACAGTTGAAAATATGAAAGCTTGAGTTTAGGAATGGTAAAGAAATTCCAAGGAATTTCGAATATTTCTCGGCTACTACCTGTCCCTTCTTCTTCTTCTTCTTCTTCTTGTACACGTTTCACAATGTTTCTCTTGTTTCACGCGACTAGTGACGAATACAAGATGCAGGATCGTCCGATGCTCGTAACACGCTGTGTAAATCGTGCGTAATGGTATTTCCTTATTTGAAAAGCGGGAATAATTGTCCGGTTGGAGGAGTTATCTGATCGACGTGAATTCACAATTACGATTGAACGTCATTTCCAAGCGTAGAATTACCTGTGAAAAGTGCTGCAGTTTTAAGTGATGTTGCACAGAGCACACGCGTTGCTTTAGGATATTAGATCGGTACTTAAATTTCGCGGTGTTATCAATGGAATTTGTGGTATATTTTTTCAAAATACGATTCAGTGATTGGAAACGTGAATATCTGTTTTTTACATGGATTTTTGCAACTGTGTGTTACAGGCGAAGAAGGAAATCTACGATGTAAAGCAACAGAGGCTATGTCTGGCCCAGGATGAGTACAATCACCTCAACAACGCTCTAACAACGCTCGGTGCATCTCGCACAAGTTGTGAGTACACCTTAATACTAGCGGTATTTGTTTTCCGGAATTGTTTAGCATTCAGAATATATACTCCAGAGTGGAAAGTAGCGATTTACTTGGAACTTGTGGCGCGTTGAAAACTGTTGATTGTGTTATCGGCGACACGTTAGTCTCTCAAAAAGTATCGTTCAAATTGCGATCTTCTTTTTTGCACCGGTATCCTGCGGTACGAAAAATTATTTGAAATTAGCGTACATTTGAAAGGCTTGCTTTTGATAGGTGTATGTGCAATTATATTTAACGATTACAGTGGCGGCTTTGTGGAATTTTCTTATCAATTATCTCGAGTGCCTTTTATTCGTCTACTTTGAAATTAGAAGACACACTTTTCGGTATTTGGACTCTTGTACAGGGAAATATATTTGTTCAGCACTTTCGAAATCTGTGAAAAATAGCAAAGTAATTTTTGTATGAAATTTGGCTCGAGAATTTTTTTGAAATTGCTAGAAACGATACGACAGGATAGTAATTGAATTTGTCTTGCTTACAGTGTGCTCTAGTTCAAGTTCATTGAGCACCAAGTATGATCCGGATCTCTTGAAGTCTGATGTTGCACTTGCGAGGAGTCGAGTTTCCCGGTTGAAACGAGAGCTCGAACAGATCCGAGCTGAAATGAACTGTACGCAGCGAGGAGTGGATACTCTTGCAAGGTAAGCCATTGTCTGATCCTTAGATTTAGTTTTCAAATTTCCTCCAGTTTGAAGAACCTATTTTCCACGAGTATAGCAGACGAATTGGACGAATTGTAATTATTTTAGACGCTTGTAAGTCACCAGAAGCTTGTCACGTTAGTGTTTCTTAATAAATCATTTTCAATAATCTTGCTCAGAAAAATTAAAAACCAAAAGACTTGCTTAAGTATTCTCGCCATTCGTTGTCTTGTGATTAAAATGAAATACCACGTAAGAATCGCCCAAATCCTTTGCTACTCTTTCTCCCGACGAAGCAAGAAAATTTCGCAAACAGAAAAAGCAACATAAAAATGAACGTTTCTCTGACCCAGCATGGAGATAGAAGTTAGAACGAACGTCTCAAATCTCTCGTCTTTTATCCCATCTAGCGTGGAGCAGAAATTAAGCGGGCACCATGGTGGTTGCTACAACATCACGGAGGCTCAGGCGATCATGACGGAGCTTCGGAACATTCAAAAGTCTCTGAGTTCCGGGGAGAAGGAGAAGGCAGAGCTGATGCAGTCTTTGGCTCAATTGAAAGACGAATTGACGAGACTGCAGCTCTGCGAGGGCAGCCCCGAGGCGAGTACGCTAAGTTTACCGCAGGAGAAACTAAGCACGGCTTCGCAGACTGACCTGTCCGGCGAATTGGTCCCGATCGGCACACGTCTGGCCGAGATGGCACGCATGAGGTTGCAATACGACGAGGCGAGGAAGAGGATACAGCACATTCAACAACAACTGGCCGATCTCGAGGAAAAAGTAACGCCGGGTCAGACAGAGAGCGACAAAGACAAGTTGCTGCTCTTCCAAGAGAAGGAACAACTCCTGAGGGAGTTGAGGAGCATCACGCCGCGTACTAGAACGCAGCAAGACATGAAGAAAATCCAAAGCGAGATCAGACGTCTCGAGCAGGACCTGAACAACGCGCTCGAGTTGTCCAACAAAACGATCACCGATCGCGTACGTCTACACGAGGAGAAACAGCTGTTGCTGCAACAGCTCAGAGACGCTCTACGCTCTATGGCGATGCTCGAAGGGCAATTGAAGACACTGAGCGCGAGTACGTTGTCGGTGAGCAGCAGTTCGAGCCTCGGTAGTCTCAGCACGACCAGCAGTAAAGGTTCCCTCAGCTCTGGACTCAGTTTCACCGATATCTACGGCGGTCCTCAATGTCTCGGACCTGTCAGCTCGCAACAAGAACGACCGGTTGATATGGTCGACCTGCACAGACGCGTGGAGAGACTGCTTCGTGGCTCGGAGCAGAACAATCTCGTCAGCACACCCTCGCCGGGAAGGTCGCAGCCGAGTTTGTCGCCGAGATCGAGCCTGTCCAGCGTCAGTCCGCCGGTTTCACCGTTGTACGAGAACGCTCCTATGGGCCCTCCGCCGGCGTACGAGCACGTAGAGATGCAGAGGCGGCAGCATCAGAGACCTGCAACCTCGTCGAACGCTCATCTGGACGGGAATCAGTTGGAGGATCGATTGGCCGAGCTTAGATTTACTCAGCAGCAGACGTCGTTGCACGAACAGTTGTGTACAGGTTCTCAGGATCGTATCAAGCTGGTTGGCGGTCCGCATCCGCCTGTAGAGTTGCAGTCTGGAAATATGTCCCAAGGAAGCGGTCTCGGTAGGCCTGTATGCGTGATACCTCATCAAGTGCCTTCGCAGGAACCTCCGCCTCTCTCGCCTATCAGCGAAACACCTCCTCCTACTGGAATTCGTTCGAGAGCGAGTAGTTCCGGTACCAATACCAGGTCCGTTTCAGCTGCCGTTTCCGACGAAAGTGTCGCGGGTGATTCAGGAGTGTTCGAGGCGTCTAATAGAAGAAAGCTTCCCGGAGCGATCAGTGATGTAGATTCGCTGGCTCTTAGGGAGATGAGTTTGGAGACGGCGCAGGTGCAAATTAAGCTTAGGTTTGTTTCAATGCTCTTTGTTATTTTCTTCCTCTCGTGTTGGAGAGTGGAGATGGGAAGCATATTTGGTCGGTGTTGGAATACTTGTGAGTTGAATTTTCACTTGTAAGTGAAGTGGGTGGTAAATGAGTGATAGTGACTGTGTAATTTCACGGTTGTGTGAACGGGGGTTTCAGGATTGATCAAGCATCTCGTTGTAGTTGTTCAAATTGTTAGGATTTGTTTCTTTGTAATTTGTCAGGAGTTTCTGATTTCTCGTGAAAATGATGAAAAGGCAGGAACGACGCTTTAGTTACATCTTTGATTTCGAACGGAAATAAGTTTAGGATTTTTCTTTAAAAAAATTACTTTAAAATACGTTACCGACGTGGATTATTTTGTTGTCCTGAGATTCCTTGAGAGTCCTGAGATTATTTTGAGATTCCAATGTTCTGTATAATATGGTTCCTGTCTCCCGGCAAAGTATGGCTAATTTATGTAAAAGATGTTAAGCGAAACACAAAATATTTGTTTAGATATTCTGTAAGTGACGGTTTACTTCACGTTGGAATTGAACGTGCGAGGAATTTGGCTGCCCTTTTTATTCCTAACAACGCGCAAGTGTGAGTATCTATTTAAATGTATAATTCATGGTTATTCGTTAAATTAAGAGTTTGTTAATTCTTGTAACAAACCACAATATTATCGTGGATTAAAATTGAAGGAAATGCATGTGTGGATATGTTTGATCAGCTGATAAAAAAATCCTTATATTAAAACAGTATAGGAAATTAAACCTTCAGTTTTTATTCTGTACAATTGTGATGAATAGTTACAATACAATTTAATAATAGAAAAGATACGGATACCTATATAAATTTTAGAATTTTGCACACCCGGAAAAGATTGCTTAAGGAAATACAGATGAAAGAATATTCATATATTAATTTTTTCTGTAACGTTAAGACCAAATTTTATACCCTGTTTTGTTATCAGTGGTATTCATAAGTACATAAGTGGATGTAGTGACACGGTATGGGCATGATTCTAGTTAAAGTCAATTATGTCGATCGATGATAAACATCGCGGCGTGAACAAATAGTTCAGTGTTAGTTGGTATTGATCGACATGGTAACAGACATGTAAAAATTGAAGTAAAATACAAAATTTTACTTCATTTACCATATTCGTAAACAGCTTCTTAAAGGATCAAACATTTCCAAGTAAACAAGGCTTGTAGAACATAAGTTCCCTCGTTATATCAAATCCAGAAGTACTCGATAGCAAAAGTGCTTCGATTCAGATGATAGGTACTTTAATTTAACAAAGTTGCATTGGTAAAAAATAACAGTATACTTATTTAAATAAAAAGAAATGGACATTTCATATATAAGCCATTCAGAAGTCAAAGTGACTAACTTCATCAAATTGGATATATTAAATTTTTTTATTTAGGAAGAGTTAAGCATCAAATTAAAATTGGAAGAATAGCAAAAAGTGGAGTTAATGATTTTGGCTTCTGAGTGGCTCATATTACAATTGGATACTGATAAAGAAATGGAACATGACGAGTTTCACAAAAATTAAAAAATTGAACTCGATGGAAAGTAACAACTGTTTTTTTCTCTGTTTGTGTTTAGGTATATAAAGGCAGCATTGCTTCCAATGCAGCCGCCAGTTAATCACATGTGTTGTACGAAACCTGTTGCGGATCTGCGCAAACCAACCTTCGGCGAAACATTCCCGATCGCAGTACCACTCAACAAACTGTACACAAAGACACTGCAAGTTAACGTTTGGTGCACAGGCAGCGAGTCTGAGGAGTGCTTGGTGCGTGTGGCCTCTATTTCTTCTTTGTCTCTTCCTCTGCAATCAAATAACAATCGAATATTCAAAGCATTAGATACTTAATGAATACTAAAAAGTATCGATGATGTACTTTCGATTTACAATTCCATATGTACTTTTATTCTTCTTTAGTTTTTTTTTGTTTTTTTTTTTTGTTTTTGTAAAACCTGCATTTTTATATTCATTTTAATTTATGCAAAATGTAAAATATCAGGTGAATTTTTGTTACTATTTCTACTCAGTTTTGTAATAGAATTTTACAGTCTCCTCTCGTATAAATAAATAAATTAATTTAATATACAGTAACTACCTTATACAATTGTTACGTTCACGATCCTCTTCAACATGTTCAACTGGATCTCTTTCCGGTTTCAGGGGTCCGCCCAAGTGTCCCTTGCAGACTTTAGTCCAGAATCGCCAAGCGTGAAATGGTACAACATACTCTCCTTTCGCTTCATGCAACCATCCGATAACCCGAGCACCAGTACCAGTAACAATAACAGTATATCCACCAGCTTAGCAAGACAGGCGAAACACGACAAACAAGAATCGGATATATCGGTGTATCGCGGTGGACAAAATACCAAGGAGGAAAGCAGTGACGAGAGCACGATTATCAGCTCTCAGACGTCCACCTTGACGAGAAATCAAGGATGTGACGAGCTACAAACGGCCATCTCGTTGAGGTTGGAGGAGCTTGCCAATTGCTTGGGTAGTCCAGAAGAAGAAGATGAAAATGGTGGCAGTGAAAGCGGAAGTGAGGACAGCGATGAAGAAGGAATTATTGTTGAGTTTATGATGGATGACAATGTTCTGGAGGATGTGCTGGAGCACGAGGTAAATTCCACCTTGATATTGTTTTATTTTTTATTTTTTTAGATTTTGTCATGTAATTATAAATACTTTAGAAACACACAATTTAGTCTTATCGTCATTAATTTAAATTCTCATCCAATCACCTTCTTTCTTGTCATGTAATGTTATTGAAATAAATTTACTTAATTTTCAATTAGCATTCATCATTAACTTGTGTGATTTATGAGTACAGGAAGACGAAGAATTAAACGAGGAAGCAAGGCAAACTCAGGACAAGGAGACCAACACGGAATGCGTGTTCATACCGGAACAAGGCAAACAAAGGAAGCTTTCAGCTGCCGGTGTTGTTTCTAACGTCATGCACGACGATAAAAATTCCATCGTGATTAAGAGGAGTCAAACGTTTTCACCTAGTGCTGCAGTCAGTAAAAATCACTATATTTGTCGGGTAAGCCTCCATTTTGTCGCACGAGATATTTATACATACTTAAATTTCATTTGTTTCTTTAATTTCTATTTAATTTTATATTTCACGTTACAGCTGAATCGCAGTGATAGTGATAGCAGTATGCCACTTTATCGCAGAGGTGGGCCTTTCCAACGAAATTCCGTGGAAAGACGGTCTCTTCGATGGCGCAGACCCTTATCTGCTTTAAGCTGTAAAACCGTTTCGAAAAAGTCTACGAATTTGCCACCTACCGCTAGAACGTCGTTAGATCTTGAATTGGATCTTCAAGCGCAACACGCTAAATTGAACAATCTTCAAGACGAGCTGAGCAGGTTGCGTGAATTAAAGCAAAGGTTAGAGCAAGCGCGGGAAAAGGGGGACACCGATTTTGCAACGTGGTTGCTGGAAGATCATAAGTTTCAAAATCTCATGGCACAAGCCGAGAGTGGAAAGAATGGTAAGAGTGCCGAGGATAAGAGAGTAGAGAAGATGCTGAAGAAAACCTCGAAGGAGATTTACAAGCTGAGGAAAACGAAAGCTGGCAAGGGGAAACCTGATATTATTTCGTTCAAGTATGTACTTCAAATATTTTTCAATATCTGTATCTTCAGATATTTTCGTTCATTTTCCTTGCAATTCATTTCTTCTACATGAGTGATTAATAAATAAATAATTTTTATATTGTCATTGTAAAATTATAGCTTACAGATAAATGTTTTCATTTCCGCTATGCTATAAGTCGACCTAAATTTTACGTTTCAGAGAAAAGATGGCTTTCTTCACGCGCGTTAATCTTAATGTTCCTGTACTTCCACCTGATGATTCATTGTGCGAGAATACATCATCGGTATCTCCATTACCCATTCAACACAAGAGGCACGCTTCGGAACCAGTTACCACTGAATTCAGGGTTACTAAGCTCGGTGTTCAAGGTGTTTCGAATTCGGCTGTACGGTCAAATAGTGTTCCTAGCGGGAATGCATCCGTGGTAAGAACTGACGCAACCAATAACACGATTATGGTCACGAATGTGGCCGAGGACGTTCCGGCGAACAGTACAAATAATAAATCGGTGAACACGAAAGGTCGACCTTTAGAGGCGAACGCTTATCAAGAAAATGGTCAAGGCGAGAGTCTCAAGTCACCGGAAGAAAATGACGGTGAAGAGCCAAGGAGATACGAGTACGTTGTCGATAGAGTTCTCGGTGTTGAGGTGTAACATTTACACTTTTAGTTGGCTTTCGGTTTGCCTTATATCGTTGGTGGATAACTATTTGCGTATCGATTTTGTAACTATCAAACGGAAGCAAGGGAATGAAAAGAAAGAACAGAGGAATGCTGCTGCTTTCTTACTTTTTTCGAATTCTAGGTGCCATGCACAACGATCGAAGAAAACGTTTACTGAAATACGTTTGTACGGCGCACGCTATACGACGATGCTAGTGTAACTAGTACAGCGAACTGAATTAAGCGTTGCTGATATTGTTATTGTTTTTTTTTCTTTTTTTTTTTTTTATTACTGGTTATCGACGCGACGACGACGCGCAAGAGAAATGATGTCTAGGAAGATTTTCGAGGCGATAGCGAAAAATGCGTGAAACAAACGCTCTGTACATACGAGAAACCGTAAATTATTTAAATGAAATTTTATGCGAGAATTATTTAATTTCAATCGATTCCATCGGGTTCCTCTCTTGCATCCCGGTTCATCATTCTACATCATATCACTTTGCTCGCTTCCCCTTGCATTTTATTTTAAAGCATACGCAAGACCCCACCGAGCAGCTGGACTGCAATGTTAAAAATATTATAAACGAAGGAAAAGATGGTAAAGGGAAAGAATAAAAGGCTATGGCCCTGGTTGGCTGAAATCTGCCCTCGATTCCGTTACTGCCATTTCGTAATGTGTTTGCAATTCGGGTTCTTACACTAGCTCTTCGTTCTTTTGACTACGATATTGACGTATTCATGTACATGTACATACGTGTATGCTTGCACTAATCTTCCTTAGTGTAACCTAAACGAAGCGTTTTTAACGTTTTGTTAATTCAGAGAATGGTTAGGAATATTTATTACCAATTATAACTAACGGTCACTTGAATATGTTTGAATATTTGGTACTAAACAGTTGCAATTTTTAAGCCGCATCACAAATTATTCTAAAACTGTACTGTTAAAGATAGGTTGTTATTTGAATGGAGCGAAATTTGCATTATTATTACACTTGTAGAACTACATGCTTTATTTTAACGATCAACGTGAAACTAGTGAGTAAATAAAAATGATCCAAGACATTCAATAATATTCAAGGAAATTCGAAAGATGTCGCGTCAATAAATACTATAAGATTTGAAAATATAACCTACAATCTCCTGAATGAACATTTTGTATGTACGTCGAGGAACCTGATAGGAATTGGGTTTTCTTTGGAGGACTAGTAAAAAATCTTCAAAACACCAATCATGTAAATAACTTTGTATATATGCATCGACAATCACGTTTAAATGCTACACACAAACACACACACACACGCGCGTGCGCGCGAATGTATGTAGTATATCACGAACGCATGTTTGTATATACGTTAGTGCGCCAGTGTGTACGTATGTATGTATGTATGTATTTATAATACCTATAGGACAGAGAATATACGCGATTAAATTCGTATGGTCTGCGAGAACATATTTTTATGATGTATAACTTGTGCAACAGATTTTGTTACTTCGCTAATAACACGAAAAAAAGGTAAAATTGTCTTTGTACAGGATTGCACTAATCATGTGCAGGACCCATTACGTATGTATGTATTTAATTAATGTGTTACGTTAACGTATTATGTACCAGTGTGGCGTTTCGTTTTACTGTGTCGAATTAAGTGTAACGATGATGATGGTGTCGATAAGAATGATAAACGATGGGGCAACGATGGTAACGAGGTATGTGTTTACGATAAATGTCAGTAAAAGGCAACGATAATGTTGCTAACTAACAGTATCGATGACGGCGACAATAATAAAATAGCGACAATGAATATAATAGAACATTAAAATATGAATCATGGTACTGATATTGATAAGAATAGTAATAACAATTATAATAAGTTCGTAATGAAATATACACATACATAAACACGTACATCCTCCGAGAAACAACCACGGTATGACTTGTAAGTAATGATTTAAATGGTAGTGATTCGTATGATAACGATTAAAAGAAAAAAATACAGTATATTCTTGCCATATTATTTTGTATCGTAAATTTTGTTTCTCAAACTTTTGATAATTAACATCTTTTAATTTCTGAACCGTTTTTATGTGACTAACTACGTAGTGGAGAAATAAAATCATTCTAACAAAATAGTCCAAGTGGTATGAAGGTATGACACGTTTTTAACACATTATGTGCCTGTACGCTATAGGGCGGTCCACGACAGTTTCCCATCATAAACGAATGAAGATATTTCGAGGTATATTACGCAAGTAAGATAAATTTAATAAAAATCAAGAATGTTAGGAACACAGCGCTATATTTATTTTTCTCTAATTAAATATTTTAATGCAAGTTTTCACATTCTTCTGAAATGCTACCTAAGGTACGAAATGTGTTAAATTATGTAACATGACACAGTTACTTAAATGTCCAGAATTGATTTTTTTCTTGAGAAGCTAAACAATACTTATTTCTTTTATTTGCGTTGAACTTTCAATTTAAAGAATTAAACTATTCTTCGAAACTCATCGAAATGCAGAATATAAAGTTATCATAAATTCTTCAAAATAATAAAGTAGAACAGAAAATATTTTATTAAACTCTTTTCGTCTCTTGAATTTTCGTGTATTTATTTATTAAATATAGAAATGTTTCGTTCGCTATTATGTAAGATAGTATCATAAAACTACTGCTTTATTGTAAGTTTGACACGATATGTGTTTTTTGAATCACCATCAGAACTATATCGTATCGACGATAAATCTGAATATTTTCCTGGACTTCCTTTAGTATATTTACTTTTAAATCGGAAATACTATTAAAAAGTTATCATGCCAAAATAATAATTTATTGAGGATTCGTAACTTTAATTCCTATTATATTATAAATTTGAAAATAAAGATTGAGATAGTCATACAAATATTTTACAAAATGCAATTGAAAAACCTATACATAATAATTTGTTCGCGCTATAATCTCTGTGTCAATAGAAATATACCTTAACTACGACATATTTTAAATACTTTATATTTTTCGAAGTTCAAAGATTTGTTTTATCTCCTATATTCAAATTTAAGTACATATAAAACAATATATATTTCTCAAACCTTTAAAATCAAATGAAATTTGATTCTTCGTGGAATATTCACAAAATAGCGTGCCATAATATAAAAAATTAAAATTGCGTCGTACAAAGTAACGAAACTCGTATGCACATGCTCGAAAGTGCGCGCTTGCGCAGTATACTGTATTCTCGCAACCATTTGGATTGGTTGTTGGACTTATTGTTAATAGACTCATACACAGCGCCTCCCTCTTTTTAGTCAAGCAGAGCGCATCCGGCGCGATGCTGCTGTGTGGTGTTTTGTGTACAGTGTTATCAGTTTCTTTCGGTGCAATCGTGCAAATCGTAATATTTCTCCTGCAGAACTCGAACATCTTGAGAGTGCAAGCTTCCCTACCACCGGGAGCTGGTTAGTTTTGCTTTCATTACGTTTGTATAGTTAAAATGAAAATATTTAAAAATTAAAAGTTTCTTTATTTCGTGTGTTATGTTATATCGATACAAGAAGATTTGTAGTCAGATAAAACAGATTGATTAAGTTTATTATTACACGTTAGACAATTAAAATTAACAAGTGTTTACATTAACACATGGTTCGTTTTCCTTTTTACTTATTTCATGTTTCCAGTTCTTTTTCTTTTTAATTATATAATAATATAACAAACTTTACACTTTATTCAATTTTAGTACTTGCATATACCTGTTTTTGAACTGTCTACTTTGTGTGTTATACAAATATGCGAATGTTCCAACAAGAATTTTGCGAACACCGTATTACGTCTGACAGTTATCCAAATTGGCGCGCACTTTTCGAAAATGATTGTTTAACACGTAGTACATGGTGGTGTATGTATATATGTAGTGTGTTATTGTTATACATGAGTTTCGTGTCGAGCCACTGGAAATCGTGTCGTTGAAGAAAACTAGGTGGCAGAATTTAGAAGACAGCTTAAGTAATTCAGCGGTTTGCTGCAAGTGTGTGTTGACTAATCGATATTATCGTCAGCGGTACGCTTCCCGACCTCTACACTCATGCGTGTCAAGTGTGTTACATCGCGCGTTCAACGTAACTACTGTAGTATTCGCTAACACACGGATTTGACACCGGTTAAAGTCACACTACCTTCAAATGTTCCCACGCAACCAGAACAATCCGTTGGATGATAATGGTAGTGAACTTGAATATACCAAAAGCGTTTGTCAAGCACACGATTGGGGATCTTTTTGTAAGTTTTTTTTTTTTTTATATTATATTGGTCAAAGTTTCAACGTAATACAAACATAGCAAACGTGTTCCAGCCAACTTAATGTTTCACGTAGAGTTTGCTTTTGACCAGCAAACATCAGTTAATTCATTATTTGAAGATTTCGTTTTTTTTATAAGTGAATCGTTCTATCTTTAATTTCGTTGTTATATTTGTACAACAAACGATCTACTATAACAAAGATGACTCAATTTTTCCGTTAGCATTTAATAACACTCACCTAAGGAGCGTTTCTGTTAGAATAATATGCCAGTTAGAAGAACGTAGCAGCAGGTTAATGAATTTTAGAATATTGTGAATTTAAAGAATAAGTGATTAGACCTGTTGAATATTTCGTTCAAAGATTACACTTTTGTGAAAATGTGAAACAAATTTTTTTGTAAATGAGGTGCTAGTATTGAATTTGTTCACTAGAAATTTTTCTTTGAATTTTACATTTGTATATAGTTATATAAATATATACCATAAGAAAGTTGTTTATTGAATTTGTAGATAATATATTTTTGAAAGCTTTACTTCTATGTTCAAGTACTTGTAAACAGAAATTTATGTAAAGAATACTCATATAAAGTTGTCTGTAATCTAGTAATGCAAAATAAAGGTTAAGAAATATGTTGAATTATGTAATATAGATTTAATTTACTAGATTCACATGCACTACATAATGTTCATACAAAGTGTTCAAAATTAACGTTTCATTATAAAAACATCATTTCTTCATGACACATAGTGCATTGGAATGAGGTACTTGACAACAGTTTGAAATATTCAAGTTTTACACTCACACTTCATTTCATTAAAGCTACAAAACTACCAATGCTTAATATCGCTCGTACAAAATAAATAATATTTATTTATGTTTCCCTGTAGTACATATATAATATTTTCTATGGAAAATCATAGAAAATTATACTCTTTTTCTTCGAGCCATAATTAATATGGATGTTTCCTAGAAGTCTGGTATTTTAGAAGCGTATAATGGGTTTTACCTGTTGAAGTTTCCGATGGTATTTCGGACTATTGTTCAAGTATTGATAGTGATAATGAAGGTAGTGACATATATCCTTCGCGAAAGAAACAAATAATTATACTTCACAGCAATGCAATATTATAGTATTAGACATTATAAAATGTAAATAGATGGGTATATAATTTCCAAGTTACACGATGTTCAGGTTAATTTTAGGTTAAACCGCAAGGTTTGCAACCACAAATCAAAGGTAAAATCAGAAGGGTTAATCGGGATCAATTTACATTATTTTCACCATAGGAACTCGGCTTCCTATCGATTTAACACTATCATCACCGGCTAAAAATACCAAAGATGTAGTTGCAAGACTTTACGTTACGCGAGTGCATGGAAAGTTTGCGTACTCGAGGAATCTAGACTTCGCGGAATTTTTCAAAAAGAATTCTGTTCGGAATAGTGTAAGAATAAGATTCGTGCATCGATTGAAAGATCTTAAAAAATACTCTTAACGTTCGATAGCTATTTCGTATGAATTATCGTATCGATTTATTTTGATAGATTTCGAGGAAATCAAGCTTTGAATATTCGTCAACTTATAATAAACTATTTTTTTTTAACAGAATCTCTGCTATTCTAGAGGAAATCAAAATCATCTTCAATTAAAAGACAATATCGTACAGGCGTTCGAGGAAGTGAAGAATTTGAACACGGTACTATTTTAATAATTTGTCTACGACATTAAAGACGACATTTTTAACAATTTTTCAATTGATAAAATGAACAAATTATTGAAATTTGTTGCATTATTTTAGACTATACCAAATGCAGACTAACAGAAATAGCGGTGAACAGTCAGATTGAAGGAACCAAGTCATCCGCCTCACCCGGATGTGCGTTCCATAGTAATGTATTTGCATAGGAAGGGTAGGGGCTTCCCCCACCTGCACTTTGGCCACCATTATCACCTGACTATACCTACGCAGGACAAAAGTTCTTGCTTGAGTCTCTATCGACATTTTTCCTAAACCTGAACAACTGTAATTACAGTTAAAATTAACCAATTTTCTAATTAAATAGGCATCGCCTGAATCA